GGCAGGCGGCCGGCCCGCTCCCGCAACGCCTCTGCCTCCTTCCCTGTACAGCTCGGCTCGCTTGGCCTGTCCCGACAGCGCCTGGGCCTGGGCGAAATGATGCGGAGCTGGGAACGGCCAGCGGCTAGCCAGAGAGATTAGGACGGAAAGGAGCCGGGTCGGGGGAAGCCAGAGGAGGGGGAAGTGCGGGGAGAGGGTTAGGGAATGCGGCGATGGCGGGAAGCGTCTGAGAGCGCACCTCCTGGCGGAGCCTTCGAATTTCGGCCTCCAAGCCCTGCACCTCCGCCTGGGAATCTAGCATCAGCTCGGCTTTCTCCTCCCTGGAGGGAAGGGATACAGGAGGGGTCTGGGGACCCCTTCGTAGGCCTGATCCCGACTGGGACCACATCCAGGCTTAATCTGTTACCCCTCCCCCCAGGTCTCCTTCCCAGCCTGTAGCACTCACAGCTCCTGTCGCAGGCGCCGCAGCTGGGCCTTGGCGTTGGCCAGTTGCAGGGCCAGGTGGTGTGAGGGGCCCTCTGGAGGAGTCCTAGCAGGAGTCTCTGGCAACAAGGGGGCCGTCTCGCGCTCCAGCAGCAGTTCAGCCAGCCGCTGTGGAATGTCAATGGTCAGAGTCAGGAGTACCCCATTCCAAGACCCCCAGCTACCGAAAGCAAGGTGATCTGGCTGCTGCAACCCTCCTGGCCCAAGACCTACCACCCCAACCCCGTACCTGGGTCCCAGTCCCCATCTACCACACACACCTGATTACCACGGTTCTCCTGTTCCTCCACCTGCCGCCCCTTACCTGGGCCCCCACATCACGCTCCCTCGCCAGCCTCAACAGCATGCCCATCAGGCTCCGGGACAGCGTCTCCAGCTCCGGAGGTGCCAGCTCCCCAGGCTCAGGCCCAGCCAGCGCCAGCACAACGCCCACCCCAGGCTGGGTCACCTGGAGGCACAGAGAGAGCAGTTTAGCCAAAGAAGGGGAGGCAGGGTGTCCCCGAGTGGCAGTGCGAGTCCAAAGTTGTACCTCCTGGATGGCAGCAGCCAACTCACTCTGGACCTCCAGGCTGAGGCCCTGGATGTGTCGGATGAACAGTTCCCGGTGCTCACACTGAAGGGAGACAAGGAGGCAGGGGAAGAGGCTGATGCCAGAGTCTCCCACCTCTGCAGCCAAAGCTGGACCCTCCCCTTTCCTCCCCTACTCACCTGCACTGATGCCCCCAGCAATAGCCTAAGAATGCCTTCCAGCTCCTCCACCGCCTCCTCTGCAGGGCACAAGCCACAAGGTGTTAACAGGCAGGGGGAGGGGGTAGAAGCAGGAAGGGGTAGTGGGAGAGAGCACCTGAGAAGGGGTCAAACCCCAGGGTCTGGAGGTCTGGTGGTGGCGACAGGATCAGCAGCTGCAGCTCCTCCTAGGATGAGGGGGTGGGAGATATGAGAGGGGCCTTCCCACAGGGGGCTCCAGGCTCAACCTCCCCCTTCCAACCCCTCACCTGGTAGAAGTCCCTCAGTCGTCCCCACAGGTGGTTCATGTTCCACACCCGCCAGGCTGCAGGACCATCATGGCCCCTAAGCATTCTCAGGCCCCCTCGAGACCTGGGGGCACTGGGGCGATAGGCGGGAGGGGTAATTGAGGACCCACCTCCCCTAAGCCAGGCTCTGCCCACCGCCCTCGGGCTCCTCCCACCAGGCTGCCCATCTCCCTCCCCTAAACCCCTTGGCAGCCGCCCCTGATCCTCTGATGCCCCTTACATGATGCCCAGCACCCGGAGGAGCAGGGCCCCATCGCTGAGACGCAAGAACCTCTTCTCCAGACAAAGCAGCCCCTCTCCTTCCTCCTCCTCTTCCCCCTCCGGCTCCTCCACCTCCCCCACCAGTCCGGCCAGTCCCAGCGCCTGTGGAACACAAAGGAGTCAGCTGGCCTGGGTGGGAGCTCCCCACCAGCAGAGTGAATCCTGAGCCCGTCTGACCTGCCCCCTGAGCCCATGCAGCCCCCTCGTCACCAATTCCCTGAATGCCAGTGGCCCAGGGTCTGGACCCCTTTTCCTGCTGCACAGCTGCCTGGACTTCTCCATTCCCCACTTGAGCCCACCCCTCCCCTCTGGCCCCAGCTCTGCCCCGCTCTCCCCCAACCCCAACACCAGCCCCTCCCTGCTGCTCACTTCCCCTCCGCTGCCCGCCCTCCCCCTACCCCCTCACCCAGGTGGCCAGGCTCCCACTCAGGAAGTCTCTGATCCTGGGCCCCTTGCTCCCATCCATGACAGGGTCAGGGTGTTGGTCCCCGCTGTGGTAGCTACACCTGCCCCGAGAGGAAGAGGAAGTCCCTGGCTGGGGGATCCCAGGCCCAGCCACAGACACCCTGTGCAGCTTCCTCCTTCCGGGTGCTGACGGACTGTGCACCCCCAGAGTCTTGCCTCAGCCCCCCCTCGCCGCTCCGCATCCTCCTAGCATCTCCAGCAGAGCTGGCCCAGAGGTTAGCCAGGGAAGGTGGAGTCAGGGCCACCCAAGAACAAGGCCCACAGCTTTCCTGGCTCAATGGACCATGGCGGGTGAGTCCTCCACCTCTCCGGGCCTCAGTTACCCAACTTGAAACCCAAGTGGGTAACCTTGGCCTTCCACCTTCCAGGGCCTCTGAAGGGGCTCCAGGCCTTCCGTGATGAGTCTTGGTGCCTACACTGGCATCTTTTGATTTGCCCAGCCTCCTTTTCCCATTGATGTTTCTCAGACTTACCCAAACCACTCTTCTGACCCATGAAGCCTGGGAGATGCTGCCTCTCACATCAAGTCTCCTCTGAACCCCCACCAGAAGTGAGTACCCCTCCTTGGACCACACTCTCCCCCATATTTTATATACACAGGACTGAGGCAGGACATCTGTCCTGTAGGCTTGGTGACCTCACAGGCCCTCAGTATCCTGTCTGTAAAAGAAGTGGGTTGGAATCCACGCTCAGAGGGAAGCCATTCAGTGCAGAGACCAGTCACATGTGTCTCGCAGATTAATAGGCCAGGAGACCCCAGTTCCCCTACTGCTCACTGCTTAGCTCTGTACAGGACACTGTGCTGGGTACTGAGATACAGTAAAAAGCCACGTAGTTCCTGCCCCCGTGGGATGCACAGTACACTGGGGAGACAGCTACCCAGAAAATCACACACACACTCAGAATGTAATATTGCATCTGTACTGTGCACAGTGACAGGGAAAGGATTTGACTTATGTGGGATGATCAGGAAAGACATGGGGGTGGAGGGATGACCATGGAGCTGAGACGAGGGATGACTGAATTAACTAGTCAAAGTAGGGGAGAAGGAAGGGCATTACAAGCAGCAGAGGCAGAATGTGCAAGGGTTCTGTGGCCACTGGAAGCATGGCCAGGGTAAAGTTCAGAAATTATTCATGTTTCATCGATTCCCAGACACTTAATTTCTCATCACATTTAAATCTCTGAAGTCAGGTTACAGGGGAGAGTTGCTGGCTGGCTGGCTGGCTGGCAGCAGTCCTGACATTGCTGGTGTGGCCTGCACGTGCCCACACTTCAAAAGCATCAAACCCTGCAGAAAGGGCAGCTTGGAGGAAAACCCTAGAGACAAGAGCAGAGCGCTCTTAACCCCAGGACCCAAATGGTGGTAGCCCTCAGGGTAGGGGAACCAGACTTGTCAGCAACACTCCCAAAGCAGAAATCCAGCATCAGTTTGTTCTGCAGTCCTACAAAGCTGGCTTAGGACTCCGACGGCTGCTGGTGGGTTTACAGTTGTCTGGTTGTCTTATGGACTATTCCGAGGAGTGCTGCTCTCCCGAACCCTTGACACCTCACAGAAGGAAGTGGCAGGGAAACAGACATCACACCTCTGTCAGATTCCAAATGTGCAGGAGTTTTCTGAACACCGTAAACAATTTTTTTTGCTTCTATTTTCCTTTTTCTTTGTGCATCAGAATTATATATGAAGAGAATCTATGTCTAAGTCAAAAAGAGCTCCTTGGGGAAGGATAAAATAAAAATTCTAGTGATGAAAGCACCCTGGGACACAGTTAACTGGCAGCATTCCTTGTTTCCTTAGTGGCAACTTTTACAATCAATGACATCTTAAATTTGATGAAACATGGAGCAATAGTGCAAACCCAGGCTTACCATGAGCCAGTCCTGGTTACAGGTACTTTACACTTTCTAACTTATTTGCATTGGATTGGGTATTAAATGGGGACTAGGGATTATCTCCAATTTACAGAGAGTGAAATTGAGATTCAGAGAGGTTACTAACTTGACCAAAGTCACACAGCAACAAAGTGGTGGTCTGACCAGGCAATGGGAGGCAGAGCAGGGTTGTTAGCAGAAGAACCTAGCTGGTTGTTTGAAGCCTCCCGAGACACATCTGAAAATGCAGATAATCCCCTCAGAGAGTTGTTATGAGGATTCCATGAGCTGGTGCCCAACTTAAGCGGTCATTAAATGGTCCCTGGTGTGGTTATTATCTTTAGTTGTAATAATATCAAGGACCCATCCAGATTTGACCCTCTGCGAATCTTATTTGCATCCCTCAGGGATTCCAGCCCAGGATGTACTCCAGAGCGCCTGCTCTGGGCTAGCCAAGTGTGGTGACGGGGCCTCACCTCCTGGCACCCGAGGGCCCCTGCCTTGCTCAACTGAGTCATACCCTTCCTCCAGCCTCCTCAGAGGCGGGGCTGTGTTGCCCCATTGCTCTTGCCGATGGCTGTCACATTGGTCACTCCAGACAGGCCCGGCAACACCTCAGTCTCTCAATCTGGTTCTGCGACTTGGTTCAGCTGAGTCAGGCCCAGGGAGGCTCGAAGGGGAGGGAGGAGGTGGGGGAAGGGCTCCCTCACCAGCTGACACAGAGCTCCTGGGATTTCTGGATTTCAGGGCTCAGTTAGCTGTTGAGGAATGTTCATCAGAGGCTGGCAGTGGTCCCTCTCCTTAGGCTAGATTTTTCCTTTAAAACATTTTTCAGATGCATGATTAAAAGAAGTCAAGAAGGGGTAGGGTAAAAACAAAATAAGTAAATAAATAAAATAAAATGGGGGTAGGGTACAGCTCAGTGGCAGAGGACCTGCTTAGCATGCATGAGGTCCTGGATTCAATACCCATGTACCTCCACTACAAAAAGAGAGAGAGAAATAACATTTAAAATTAATAAATAAACCTAATTACCTCCTCCCACGCACACAAAAAAAAGTCAAGGTGCTTAAAAATATAGAGAAAAAAATCAAGTCTCCCAACCTCAAGTCCCCAGTCCCTCGTTGGCATTTTTTGTGTCCTTCCTGAGCTGCAGCTCCCATGTCTGTCTATAACAGGTAGATGCAACCACACCCAAGTACATTCCACCGTCTGCTTCATTTCTGTTCCGAACCATTGGCCTTGGCCTTTTTAAGGGCTATGTAGTATTCTACTGTGCTGCTCTCCCATCATCTATTCAGCTGTCTCTGGGTAACAAAGACTTTAACTATCTGCATCTTTTGCTAATACTCCAGTGCCATAATGACCGCCCTTCTCAGGTATCTTTTTCTGGAAGTTTAAGGAGCGTTGGTGCCCACTGCTGCCAACATGGGGAACACCAGGAGACAGGCAAGGAGCAGAGAAAGACAGACAAACAAATGGACAATGTCATCAACTGCCACCGTGTCCCTGCAATCTTCCCGCTCGGGGTTCAGCTTCCCTGTCGGCACAGGGTGGGAGTAGCAAAGATTTCATCTCCCAGTTTCCTTCTGGCTTTGAATTCTCTGGCCCTGGTCCAACCCCTAAAAGGCCAGAGGCAGGAGGGTACTGGGGCTCCAGGAAGTAGAGTCCAGGAAGGCCAGGGCAGGTGGCAGCTGGGTTCAGCCGGTGCCCAGGACCAACCAGAGCTATGTCAGAGAATGGCTTTTTCTCCCTGCCTGCAGTGGGCCCCGTGCCCTGCCTAGTACCCCAGTGGCTTGGCTGGGGCCCAGCTCCCTAACCAGATGGTTCAGGGCCCCAGGCTCAAGAACTAAAATCAAAACACAGCTCTGGGAACTTCTGGGCACCTGACCCTCTGGTGTTGGGTCTGAGGGACTCCTTCTTCCCCACCCAAGTGTCTGAGAAGGGGTGATTTTCCTACCCACCATTGGGGGTGGAAATAGCCAGAGTAGGGCAAGAGCGGAAAGGCCCAGCACAGCGGCCCAAACAAGCTGCCCCCGTGGGAGAAGGCAGTGGGAAGCCGGAGCCAGGGAGGGTGGGGCCCAGGGCCATCTGCCAAGTGCCGGGCCAGGTGCTCGTGGGCTCAGGGTGCGGCCTACAAGACCTGGGACCCAGCACTGAGAGGACACGGCAGAGCCCAGCCCCGACTACCTGACACTCAGTTAGCTCTCCCTTCCTGCTCTCCTCAGGGCGCCCCCATGCTCCGGAGGGCCCTGCCTGGCCCTAAGCCTCTTGCCAAGACTGGCACCCTGGCACCAATCCTTCTCCCAGTGGCCTCCAGGAGTCGTTCAGAAATACTGACTGGCTCGTAACCCTTCCCTGTTTAAAACCCTTCAGTGACTCCTCCCTGTACTTTGAATCAAGTTGCAGCCTCTCAAGGGTAGAGTATAGCTCACTGGTGGAGCGTGTGCTTAGCATGCCAGAGGTCCTGGGTTCAATCCCCAGTACCTCCATTAAAAATAAAGAAGTAAATAAACCTAATTACCTACCCTCTCTCCCTAAAAATAAACTAAAAATTACAAAATTAAAATTAGGGAAGGGTAGAGCTCAGTGGCAGAGTGCATGCTTAGCATGCACGAGGTCCTAGGCTCAGTCCCCAGTACCTCTATTTAAATAAAATAAACACACCACCCCTTCCCCACCCAAATGAAAAAAAATTAAAATAAAAATAGAAGTTTTAAAAAAAGCCTTTCACCCTGACCTCCTCCGAGGCCCAGCAGAGCGACCCCAGCTCACCGTGGACTTGCACTTGCACGGCCCCACTTCCTCTGCCGCACACCGTCTCCAGACCAGCTTCGTCAGTCTCTCTCCTGCCCTAGGCACCTCTGCACTTGCTGCTCCCCAACCAGTAACACCCTCTCTAGCCCACCTCTGCGCACACCCTTGCTCTACCCCCATCCAGCTGCTTCTCACCCTACTGGTTTGCCTAATGGCCTCTGTCTCAGAAAAGATTTTCCCTTTCTAAAGGAGACCCCAGTCCTTCTTTCCTTGTAGTCTTATTCTGTTCTGGAGCTTCCCTTGTTTGCTTCGTCTGCTCCCCACTAGAGTGGAAGCTCCGTGATGACAGGAATGCTGTGGGGTCATTCAGGGCTGCAGGCCAGGCCCCGGAGACCATGAGAGCACCAACATATGCTGACCCCTTGCCCTTGCCGGCTCTGTCCTTCACGTGTATTAA